TCACTGTATTCGAGTAATGGTATAAAAATGACTCAAAGTACTGTTGTACACTCTTACGGGGGTTAACGGCGTTCAGTTCAGAACATAGATCAGGTATGGCTAAGTAAGTATCAACAATTTTTATTTCGGAGTGAAGCGCGTAGTTTTTCTAGAGCGTGATACAATGAGCTTGCAGCGACAATAAAAACAATTAATGGTTTTAAGCAAAGAAATGGATGCGGCGGATATAATTTCTCAACAAAATATTTCGGGTAGATTTAGGGGAGACTCATAAATTGATTCTAAGTCACTTTAACCACTCGGAGTAAACCTGAGATCGTCGGAGTTCAAACTAAGTTTTATAATTGTGCTTTTGAATTGATATTGATTAGAATAAAATTTTCAAGCTTTTCGGTCGAGCACATTATTTTTGCTAAAAAGTCCTTTTAAAATTTCACTAAAAAATAACACATGCTTTTATCTTTGATTCAAACATTTTTGCCCAAAATCTCACAAAAACTGAGTCTCTTGGTTTTTTTTAAAATAAGAAGTTTGAGAGAAAAAGTGTCCAGAACCTTTTACTGTGTTTTGCCATTAAATCATTAGAGAAAGGAGCAAACAGAACACGGAATCAAGATTGGCACATTCACGGTAGCAAACATTCAGCTCAAGTAATGATAACTTTTCGTATTTAAATTTCGACTCTCTCTCTCTCGGCAAGATCACAAAAGGTGTGATATGGGTGTTTCTTACAGTTTCCTGGTATGCAAAACTGATCGAATTTGTCGCAGTTTAAACGACTTGCTTCATCTTCAAAGTCCAGTGCACACTCTCACCATCCAGGCTCTCGGTAACACATGCTTGCAGACAACTGCCCATCTGCTTGTTTTGGTGTGAAATCGGATCAATGAGGGAACTCCTTCTTGAAATCGCCTTCTTTTGCTCCTGCATTTTTTCTAGAGAAGTTACCAATGCACTTATCTGATTTTTCAATTAGAAGAGTACATATCCATTTTAGGACTGACATACTGGAGCTGTGTCGTTTCAATGGCTGCTGTATTTGAATGGGTTGCTGGGTTCGCGCTGATGAACTTCACAATTACTGTGTTGTTTGCTCTGAACGTTTTTTGCTGTTTCCGGTGCTAATAAAAAAAGCAGGCCAAAAAATGTTTTTTGGAATAAATATTGCATTTTTGGCAAAACAAGGTTTTTTGATAGACAAAATCTTGTTAATCAAGGTCAGTCAGAGCCGTTTTTTGAGCTAGTTTAAATAGCTAAATAAAGCAGAAAAAGTTTTTCAGGGGGGGGGGGTTCAAAACCGATTACTGAGAGTGAATTTATGTTCCATCAAACTCGGCGCATATTTGAATTTTAGAAAAGGAAATTGTCTTGGGGTTCGGAAATTGATATGCAATTGCTTGGATTTGGAAATGGATTCGAGCATACGCCGAATCCACCCAGACGCGCTGTGTATACGCTCGGCTACTATCCTTGTATTATATGCAACTATAATTCAAACTCGCATATGCAACTGATATCTGCATTTGTTCTTAATTTATTATTTGCTCAGCAACCTTTCTTTTAAAAAAAAATAGAAAAACTGCTGGAAATCGAAATAACAGATGGATTGCGTTGGCCCCGTGTCTTTCGTATCTCACAAAATTGGCTTAAATTTTAAGCAAAGGATTCGGCTTCTAATTATCCGAACAGAATTGTATGAGGTGAAGAACATGTTCTATAACACTACAATTGTATTTCGGATTAAGTATCACATTTTGGCAAAACCCGTTTTTTTGAAGGAAGAAAACCTGTCAGTCAACGTCGGCCAAGATCATTTTATGAACTAATTTAAATAGCTAAACAAAACAGAAAAAAAATTGTGGGGTTTGAAACCGGTTACTGAGCGTAAATTTATGTTCCGTGAAGTTCGGCGCATATTTGACATTACGAGACCAAACTGTACATTGGATAGGCGCACAATTTTGTGTCTGTACTTTCCTGGATTTGAGTGATAGGTCTTTAGACACGTCAAAATGTTGCCGGAACGATCTAAGAAATTGAAAGAACAAAAGAAGAACAAAAGCAAGGACCTTGTTGAGGAATTCACTTACAATTCTTAAAATGCACAGTTTGGCCTCGTAATGGAGCAAAAGAGAGGAAAAGGGTTCAAACCTACGCCGAACCCGTCAGGACGCACTGTGTATACGCTCGGCTACTTTCCTTCTATCATATACAACTATAGTTCAAACTTGTATATGCAACTTGTACATACATTTATTCTTAATTTAGTATTTGCTCAGCAACATTACTTGTTAAAACAATTGTCAAAAACTGCAGGAAATAGAAATTACAGATGGATTGCGCCAGCCCCGTGTCTTTCGTACCTCACAAAAAATGGCAAGAGTTTTAAGCAAAGGATTATACTTCTAATTATCCGAACAAAATCGGATGAGGTGAAGGATATATCCTATAGCACTACAGAGGACTTTATCAAAATCATTTTTCGAAGCTTTGTGTATTTGAACTGTACAGTTGAAAAAACAAGTTGACGGGTCTTACATGAACAGCCGAGTTGAAAGGATACCTTGGCTAACACTGTGCAACTGTCGTTAAAAGTTCAAACGGTTTTCTGCGATACAAACAAATTCCAATACATGTATTACTCAAGAAAGAAATGTGCATAAAAACTTTCTAAAAGAGTCACGCTAGAACTTTACCGACGATATTGACAGCGACATGTGACGGCTCAGTAATGATAGCCCTAAAGTTGTAGCTAAAAAATCGAAATTTTATTAAAATAGATACTAATTTCCTAACAAAAACGAAATGGTAGACAATGTAGAAATGGATATTAGTGGGAATACTAACTTAAACGAAATGAAACTTAACGAGTTGAAAACTATTCGAGTACCTGCCAATTTGGAACGGGACTTTTTGGGCTAGGCGAGATGCCCAACGAATGACAGCGACTAATGGACTCAATGATAAGCTATTTGCCAGGTTTTTCCTGGGTACGCAGACGATATAGTTTTTACAACGCAGTTTCGGGAGAACTACATTGGCGGAAAGTAAGTTTGGATTGGACGAAAATAGAGCAGCAGCGAAGTGGGTAAAAAATATAGTCTTCAGTTTTTCAACATCTTGAAATCAAGCCGCCCCATTTTTTTCTTTATAATAAGAAATAAAGAAAAACGGAAAACATCATGTATACTAGGTCATTGTTGGGTTCAATCAATCATTTTTTTTCTTTATCTTTAAACTAATGATCAGATTAGAATGGTTAGAGATTAAAAGAAGCTGCCGTGGCAAAAAAAGCTGGGGTAGCGGGTGAGACCTCAAAACAGTTGATAGAGATGCTTTAAAGTTTTTTTTGCGTGGGACGCCACTTATTGCCATTTCAGACCATAGGGCATTTCAGACCTTCAAAAACACAATTAAACAACAAAAAGTAGCTTGATCGGATAGATAGACACTCCACTATCTTTCGACTATGAATTGAACATATCCCGAGTAAAAGAACGAGGCTAGGAGAATATACCGACAAAAATAGAAAAATCTATGAAAATAGAAGTTGTTTTCATGAATTTCCTCAGAAAAATTTGAAACAGGTATTAATTTGTTCAAACAGATAAAAAAACTACCCTTGCGTTCTTTGGCATGTGGAGCCCAAGTTCATTTTTGTTTTAACACAAAAGTAACAGATTCATTTTTGTTTTAATACAAAAGTGATGTTCCCAGTACAGTTCATAGATCTAAGATCGTGCTACTTGTTGATAATACTACGTTATGAAACAAATATAGATGTGATAATTTTAAATTCTCTTTAGAAAAAGTAAAAAAAAAATGGCGTCAAAAACAGCATGAGTGTCAATCCAGGTGAATTCAATTATGATTTTCCATAATAACTTTTCGAAAGATTACTTTTCTTTTGCTACTTCAGTTCAAGTTACAAATTTTGTAAGTATTTCGGGGTTATTGTAAACAACAACAAAAAAGTTCTTTCAAACCACATATTGAATAGGTATGCAAAAATTGACCAAGTTTTCAGGCATTACGTGGAAGACTAGATTTTTCTTCTCTGAACAGCAGAATCTTCAATTTTTCGAAGCTTTTGTGAACCGGCAATCAGTTATGATTACGATCCAACCTCACCTAACTAAAATTGTGAAATTGCAAAAAGGAATCTTAAGAGCATTATTTTTCAAACGTAAACATGAATCACCCAAAAATCTAACGGAAATAGACAATTTACCTAAAGTTTTTTGGGTTTTACTTTTTCGAACTGTTTAATTATCTATTAGCTTGATTTCCCTGAGGGTATTACAGGCTTTTTATTACCTAAAACAAAATGATTTTAAACCTAGAAGCATAAATTAAATGCCACCATTCAGTATTACAATATTTTATAAGCAGTTTTTCAATACCTATCTGCCTGGAAGAAAATGAGGGCTTTTACGAACTGTTTTAAGCTACAGCCCATTTCATTAAAAACATGTTAGTAAAGATCATAATAATTTTAAAAATTGACTTTATTCGTTTCCTCTCGAGAATATTCTACTACTTTAAATTCCCTTCAGCCGTTTAATTTAGATTTTGTTTCATGTATGTAGCTGGTAAAATAATTCAACTTCATTTCGATCTTTTTTCAACTTCATTTTTTCAACTTCATTTCGCGCTGCAATTCAGGTCAGGCACGCAAGAAGATGCGGGTTGAAACCTGCCAACATGTAGGTTTCAAAAAATTGCGGGCGTGACGGAAAATGAAGTGATGGGCGAGTTGCCGACGGCCGACGAAATTGAAATGAAGCATTCTTGTAAAAATTGAAAACATGATTTTATGACAACATAAATGTTACAGTGACAAACAAATTAAAACACTTAATCAGAACTCTAGTGCTAGATTTTGGGCAGAGTAAGTAAAAACCCTGGCTTTTGCTTACAGTTTGGCTGGAACACTAAAAATTCATAAACATCCATAAATTCCGTGAAACATTCTTAACCCGAGATCTTTTATGTTGCAGGATTGTTCTGAAGACGCAAAATTAGAACAGAAAACCGATGACGCTTCTAGATGTTCCAGTGGAGTTTGCGCCAAATGCAAATTCACTATCCCCGTTTTGTACTCAAAGAGAGAAACGACACTTTCCATATCTGTGGAGTTTCTGGAAGAGCAGTTTTGGAAAAAGATGGTGAAAGGGAAAGAGAAGTTTTGGATTGGTGGGGACTACGAAGTGAAGGAGGCCGACTACAAAACAGATACTAACAAATTTCCCCGAAACAAAAAAGGTTTGGTGTTTTTTGGGTTGCGAATTTATTTGAAATCGAAACCTATTCAATTTTACATTGCTCAGTTTGAAAATTAAGTAATGATCTACTAATTAATTATCGATTTTCAAAAAAAAATTGAATACTAATTGTTATCGGCCAAACTGTCCTGGTACTTGCGATATTTGATAAAATAAATCATAAGCCGAACTTTTGGGTATTCTTAATCAATTTTGGTACCAAATATTTCTCACTCCTTATAGGAATCTTAACCGAGTGAAGTTTTGTTTTCTTTTTTCAATGAAAGAAAGCTATTGCGGTAGATTGATTTAATTGCTTGATGTTTGCGGCTTAGGTTCCTTTGAAATCAACACAGTCATAATCCAACCTGAGTTTCCTTGGTGGATAGTTTTTTTCTCCCTCTTCATCTCGATAACTTGGGTGGCTCTCTTAATATTGGGTCTATACAAGAGCGGATTCCTTGTGAAGCACAACCCGAACCTGATTCGACTAGACCAGATTAACGAAAACGAGTATGTTGACGAAGAAGTTGAGCCGACCTTGACCAAGCGGGGGTTAGTCGATGACATTGATAAGGGTATCTTCGGATAGTGATCAAATTGAAGCACCGATCGAACAACTGATAAACAGGAGGCACCCAAATCGATAGATAAAGACACTAAAATCGCTCATCATCAATGTTTCTACAGTCAATAAATATTTGAATAGTATTTGATGAAAAATCGTGACTCGCTCATTATTAAAATTTGAAAATTTGAGGCAAAGCTGTATGACTTCTTAATCCGTTCCGCCTAAACATGTGCAAGTCAAAACTTTCAAAACGTTTATTACAAAAATACTCTTTGTTTAATTTTCCTATGGTAACCTTTAATGGTAACCAAATTGGCTGGAAACAAATCCTCAAATTTTCAAACCAAACTGCAATTTGTACCAAAACTGAGCTTAATATTATACATCACCTGCTGACTGTATTTGATATCTTGTAGCTTAGGTTATATTTGATCTGGTAGCAAGCGTCTGTACGTTGTGTTTTTTTCTTTTTAAAGAAAGAAACGGAACATTTTAATTCTTTTTTTCCCGACTTCTGAAGAAAAGAGACCGACGCAGTTCTTTGCTCAGACAAAAAATGAAATTTTAACCAACAGCATTGCAATTTTATACCATCTTAAAGATATTGATGCCCTGTACTCCAATATTTGCACTATATGTTGCAACTGCAAGCTTTTTGTTCCGACGCATTTGAAAAATGGGGAGGAACTTGGTATTCGGGTGAGTGAGTTCAAGTTTTTTTGTTTTCCACGCCAAATCAGGTACCACAAACAGTCAACGGAATGGGTCATGTGATCTATCATATTAAAGTCTTTTCAGTCGTGATTCGAACGACCCTAAAGGGTTTCATAAAATTGTCCCAGAGTCGAGAAAAACAAGATTAAAACTTTTGACTTTTAGTCTTAATTCGAGCGAATAAAGCAAGCAAACAGGCATACAATAGCTTAATTTAAGCCCCGAAAACTTAGTTTTTCTGGAGTGAAATTAGTTTTCTGAATTTTTTCCGCCTTTTTGAAATCAAAAAATTCAATAGTTCAATAAGCTGCAAATTTTTTTTTTTTCATTTTTTTTTGTTTTTCTAGTCATTATTCTACAAAAACTGTTGTCCAATTTGCCTATTTTACTATGATTGTCGAATATTCCTAAGCTCTAGTTTTCCGTTTAGATCATTTTATCACACTACGCAAAAAACACTAAAAATACTTTTATAAAAGATTATGGTCGGAACAATCTGTGCTACTTGCACAATAACCGGTTATCCTTGTTAAAATTCCTAATTTGGCTGAACTGGATTTATCAATGCAATCGAAACTTCGATTTTTCAATTATCGCATAGCGTTAGTGGCGAGAAATCCGGCTTGCAAAAAACTTTATCATGGCTTCCAAAAAATGATTGCAAAGCCAAAAATCTAAAGTTTTCTAAAAACAATCATTAATTTTTCCTTGCAATTAATTGCTGAAATATTTAAAGCAAACTAGAAATGATTTTTTGTTGATGAAAGAATCTTTCAGCTTCAAAAAAAAAGCTGTTTTGCCAAACTTGCGGGGGTCATCCTCTGCCTATTGACATAGAACGTCATTTTGGAACGTCAAGTTGATGATATCTCAACGGCGCCACAAAATAGTTTTAAATTACTGTCAGAACATTTTTGTTATCTCACGAGATAGTCCACAGTTTTTCATTACGAGGCCAAACTGTGCACTGGATAGGCACACAATTTTGTGTCTGTATGTTCCTGGATTCCATAGACAAGTCATTAAACATGTTAAAATTTTGTCGGAGCGATCAAAGAAAATGAAAGAATAAAAGAAGAACAAAGGGAGCGTCCTTGTTGCGGAATCCGCTTAAAAGGCACAAAATGCACGATTTGGCCTCGTAATGTTCGTTTAAAAGTTTTGTGATAACGTTCACAAATCTTGTCGAGTGTTTTCGAATGTGATCATAACCGATTCGATCATCGGCTGAACAAGCTTTGTTTTTCTGCAGTAACATCTGTACATAGTTGAAATTCAAACGGTTTTAGGTAAGATCCTTTATTTGTGTGCCACTTTTGGCGTGGGCTGAAAATCAAGTTAACATATTCTGTGGAAAAGTTTGTGTGCCCTAATATATCTCCTAGCTTAATCTCGTAGAAAAATAACCAAAAAAAATTGCATGTAGTTCTTAAACAGGGGCACAACAGCGGCTCGCCGTGATGAGCTGTACAGCTCGTGTGTTGGTTCTTTCCCCCGTGGATAAATGGTCTTAATCTTAATCAGGAGCTTCTGCAAAAACACAGCAACATCATGAACGCATCTGTTCAGCTGGTGTCGTTTCGAGATACAGGTCGGATGCTTGCGTTTTGCCAAAACTTTAAGTAACTTTTGAGTTCTTGATCTTGATCATGGGGCTGTTCTGCTTATCAGGTTAAACTGTTCAAAATTTCCGATACCCATTGTCAGAAAGGCTGTAATGGAATTTTGCACATTGTAGCAAGTGTAATATTTCTTGCAAAATTGCCGCCAACTGGATCCATAGCACAACGTTTCCCAATGACAACCTGTATACACTCATTGTCCACTCCAAACTCCTTATACTTCTGAGCTACAACTTTAGATTACTTTCTGATAATGGGTGAATATAGGAGCAGAACTGTTTGACAAACCTTTATCTGAGTCTGATTTATCTGCCTTTCTCGAACACGGCAAATGCAACAACGAGTTATGTCGATGAACTCAAACAGCCTTTGATGACTAGAAAAAAACCTGCATGGCCAGGTATTCGCATTTTTTTTTCGTTTTCTTTGTCTAAAGTTTGAAAAAGATTGAAGAAAATGGCAAATATGATTCCATGATTCATACTAAAACCTTAAAATCATTCATCATCGGTAAATTCTTACGATTTTTTTAATTTTTTTTTAAATTCCTAAAATTTTTCCGAGTCTTCTGGGCTATACTTTTTGCTAAAAGGCTTATCTTTAAAAAAAGACTATTTTTCTCAAAATGCTTTTTCCTGAATACATCAGATATTTCTATTATAAAATTATTATCTTCATATCTGGTTTAGCATATTATAATTTGTTTAGCTTTTTTTGTTGGGGAATAACTTAAAAACAAGACTGCTCGTATCAGCACAAAGCCTTGAATGTTCCGACTGTCGTTTAAAAAAGAAACCGAAAAACTTTTAAAAAGTTGATTTTTTTATTCCTTTTTCCGTCACTTTATTGCTCCCCCTCATGTAAAGTTAAGTTTAAATGGACATAATTTGAGTCTGATAACGCATTATTACGAGCAAATTGCGTGCTTCAATTCTCGTCTTAGGACCTTTTTTTATCTACATGACAAAACTAAACTGTGCACTGGATAAGCAATCAATTTGATGTGTATAAGTATCTGGAATTCAGAAACAAATATTCAAACTTGTAAAAAGTTCGTCAGAACGATCAGAGAAAATGAAGGAACAAAAAAAGATCAAGTAGAGCGTCCTTACAACGCACAATTTGCTCACAATGAGGAATCCGCTTTCAATGCACTAAATACCAAAATTCGCAATTGGCCTCGTAATCGATTCAGATCAAATTTCAAAAGAAAAATGACTCACTGTGGCGATCGATCCTTGGGCCAGCATTACTCAAGAAATGCGTGCACATCACTTTTTTAACAGGTGGTTTCTTGAATCTGAAACGAGTCTTCCTAGCCTACCTGTTTTATACTTTGATGCTAAAAATTTACCTCGAATTACTTACGCGTGGCGATTTATCCCGCACCACAAAATTGTTTTCAATATGGTACAATTTTTTGGTGCGGGACAAATCGCCGCCCGTAAATAATTTGCGGTAAACTATTTGCATCAAAGTATAAAACAGGCAGCCCAGGAAGACTCGTTTCAGATTCCAGATTCCAGCTAAAATAGTGATTTGCACACACTTCTTGATTAATGTAGGTCCAAGGATCGATCGCCACAGTGAGCCACTTTTCATTTGGAATTTGATCTGAATACATTACGAGGCCAATTGCTTTTGGTCTTTCTATTTTTTTTAATTCTCAAACTTTAACACTGAATTTTGGTTTGATCAGTCTAAAACAAGTTAAAGGGTAGTCGGAACCTTTATGGCCTCGCCTGATACGAAAAGTTTTGATCTACTCTATCATCTTTGGAATCGATCATAAAAGAGAATCTATGATAGAAGTTTTTGGTATAATCAGAGCTACATAGATCAGTTTCGAATACTTTGTTTAAAAACGCAAAGTTTTTTCTTCGTTCTAATTAAAAACAAATATTATTATGTTTGGTTTCATGATAAATGACATTTAAGATATTGTTTTTAAAAATAAAAATATAGTTTTTTCTCACGCTTTTTATGACATTCCTTGTTTACCAAAGCCAGCCATGGGATGTTATTTGGGGCGCATCAAGGAAAATTTCTCAGTGGGGGGATAATTATCAAAGAAATCCAAAATTATTGGAGTAAGGCAAATTGATTTCTGAGCTCTCTCAAATTAGTATAAAGAGGTTATTTTGAAAATTTTACTTTAAAAAACACTTTTCAGGCGCTGCAAGCAAATTTTCAAAGAAATTGGCAAAAAATAAGCTTTTTATGGCCTTTTTTGGAAAAAACTTGACCAAAAAAGTGCATTATGTCGGCACAACCTCCCCCTCAAAGTAATTATATACTGAGGGTGCGTTAAGAAATGATTAAGGATCAAGTAAGCTACCAAAGAGAGGGTGTTTCAATTCGTACCAAATGAAAAAATTTCCGTCGGCAGGGGTCAAATCCCCAATTCGCTGTTAGGAAAAATTTTTCATTGATAATCATTGCTTGTTGGAGCTTCGGGAGTTTCAAGAATATCTATAAGCCATCGGTTTGATTAGGACTTTTTGTTCGAGCTTTCTAGATATAGAAAATGTTCGTATCAATGTAAACAAAATTGATTAACCCAACTTCTGACAGTTACAAGATATCAAAGATGCAAAACATCAATTTGATCAGCCTAAAACCAGTTAAAGGGTGGTCGGAATCTTCAAGGTTTCACCAGATACTAGTAGTCTTGTTCTATTCTATGATCATTGGATTTGATCTTATAAGCTTATATATGATAGTAGTTCTCATTCAACTCAGAACTTAATAGCTGATAATCGCATACTTTTGTAAAAGAAGGCAAAGTTCTGTCTTCGTGCTAATTGAAAACAAAGCTTAATTTATTTGGTTTCATGATAAATGACATTTTTAATAATTTTAATAAAATTTAAATTGAGCTTTATCTCAC